ATGAAGCTATATTCTTCTTCGTTATTACTATTCTTTTTGCCTCATATTTCTGTTTATCATCTCTGTTTTGAATCTCTCTTTACTTTACTCTCTTGCTTTGTGTGCTGCATGGAGGGAGTGTGACAACTCGAACTACTGCACATCTATGCAAAGTTCTACGTTGAAACAGGTTGTTCAGTCATGAATGGATGCTAACTTGGCGCGGTGGTCAGGCTTGTATATCGAAGCCACCCAACGAACTACACTGGCTCGAATAAATGTTCTTGTAGACCCTACCATACCAGGAAGGTTGTTTGGATAGCGGTTACACTAAAAGCATTTACTTGCATATTGTAAGTCGTTAACACTATGTTGGGGGTCTGAGGATGAGGTCGTACACCTGGCGAATAGGGATGTAACATCAGTAGGATATTTACCTCACACGGCCATGTATGCGGCATCTCTACTCTGAGGACGTGGGTTATAAGAGGTCAACCCAGTAGAATGTTCATGCTCGCTTAATTTGCAGTGGTTCATAGTTGTCGATTGGATCTTCATATTGACGAAACTGAAAAATCCACTTCTAAAATGCCATATGTAGTTGGTCTCAAGTGGTTATCGTCTGGACTGTGTGATCACACGACACCAGTTATCTTTCTTTGTCAGGTTCCCCAAGAATAATCAACTTCCACCGCGTTGACAGCTGGGAAGTAATAACAGACTTACACTTTCAAAAGCACAGAGTTTTCCTTATCATCACCCACCGTCCTCTTGCTTTCTTCCCAATGTTATTACTATTCCACAGGTGGGATCACCACCCTCTCTTAACTGTAGGACCATTAATAGACACCTGAGCGGACGAAATACTATTGGTAGTCTCTTAAGATCACGCTGCGTTCAAAGTTGGGACAATAGTCTACAATAACCAGAACTCCAGCACTTTGAAATATAGATATGTGTTGTGTTTTGGAGACATGCACATAAGACTGCAGTGTAGTTATTTACTTAAGCCCACCTGGCCAATATGGTGAATCTACAAAATCCACTTTACATGTGTCAGGAGTTAGTTCGGTTAGTTCTTGTCAACTTTACAGTATAAGAAACACTGAGCACTATGATAGGAAATTCGCTACTTGATTGGATTCCCATGGATATTTGTATGTCAGCTATTCGGCTGAATGGATTCGTAAGCAGAAAGAAAGATTGTGAGACTCATCGATGGCTTTTCATTATCTCCGCTTAATCTCCAACAAACTGTGATTCAGGCGAACTAAGGGATGAGTTCTATCGAAAGCTGTCCAGTTTGTTGCCGAAGGCGAAACGCTTAGACATGTTCATTTTAACAGGTGATTTCGATGATCGAGTATGGAGGCTGTGGCATTCAAGAAAGTGTAGTGGTCGAACTTATGAATTCCTAAGCCAACTGACTCACAACAGTGTCTGTCTTTTAAAATTACGTTCAGATAATTATCTGTTCCTGGCAAGCACTAATTTCAAACGTTTATAGAGACATTGTTAGATGGTTGGAGACAATTGGTAGGAAGCCTTTGACGTAGGTTTCGTGCCAGTTGACACTCATCAGGAAGGCGTGTCTGTAGCCCTGAAGGAACTCATGTCCCTCCTGGGGTTCGAACCGACGTCATGCAGTGTTGCAGTCAGAGACGTTATCACTGAGCTATTCGGGCCATATTGGAAACTTAACTGACAGAATTCAGTATGCGCAAAACTAAGGAATAGACGCCTAACACGAGTCACTACCTAGTCTCCAATCAAAGTATACAGACATTGCTTGGGCTGACAGTCTCCTTCGTCGATGATGGACTCAAACAGATCATGTGGGTATAAGCTGTCATTGTAAAGGTTCGATAGAAGCCTGACGTTCCTTCTGCAACACCTGCGTAGACTTGACTACATCCCACTCTATTAACGCAAGAAATAACTAATTTCGTATCTGAGATTGACAGCAAGACCCATCTTGTGGAAGCCTGGCATAATATCCAGTCAGCCGTATGAACAGTATTGAAGGCTGCTGATAATCTAAAAACAAAGGTTAATAAGTGTCATTTGGTTTCTGCTACTTCATCCAAACTGAAAGGCGCAAGGTTCCAGTGGGTTTCGAACATGACGAGAAACGAAGTCTGACTGAAAGTCTTCGCAAAGACTGTGAGTGGCCGCAAGCGAGAAAAGTGGAAGAGTTGGAGAAGGTATCGGAGATAGGCAACACCAGGCAATTATTTAAACTCATTAGGAAAACGGGCTGCTACAAAACAACGGTAGACGAGACGATATCCAAGAAGGACGGAACAATTCAATTGGCCAACAGCCATGTTAAATGTGCCCAGTATCCAACACCTAATTGAATCGGATGCCGACATTAATCCTTCAGATGTTACAGGTTGCTAAAACTGTCTCTAACTAAAAATGAGATAAAGCAGCAGGACATTACGGTATTATTCCAGAGGTGCTCAAGAGTGTTTGTGATGAACTATTTACCAGGTTGATTACGATATTAGGTAGTGTTTAGGTATCCGAGATAGTCCTGTTGGACTAGTACAGATTATTGCAGTTTGTAAGAAGAGAAATGAGTTCTTTTGTGATAATTATAGGGTGATTAGCTTGAATGACATAGTCTACACAAGCTTATGCACCCTAGAATTTCAGATACTGGGAGGTCGTCGGGAGAAACAGGGCGGCTCAGGACGAGGGTGTAGCGATTCTGGAGAAGGAACACTTACCGACGTCCGACACTTTATGTATTTCTTGACCTGCAGGCTGTGTTTGACTGTATCGACCGAGAGTTACTGTATCATTCATTGTCAGGCTGTGAAGAGAAAAGTATGTCACACTAATTCTGGCATTATACTCGTACTCAACCAGCATCGTAAGAGCTTGTGGAGAGTTTTCATCTGATGGGATAACAACCAGTTATGTCAATCAGCGATGCCCAATATCTCCGTTTCTGTTTGATCTTAGCATTGATATACCAGTGGATTTGATTCTAATCGGTTTTAGATACTTAGGAATTGGCTTTTCACCAGGAGACAATCTCATCGATTTAGAGTATGAAGTTGATATAGTACTCCTAGGTGAAGACGCTGAAAAAATGCAGTCTTCTGAACACCTTGAGTTTAATGATTTTTACATGTTTTGTTTTCATGTTCTTGGTGAATTTTTTGTTGACACGTGTTTACTCACGTGCAGAAGCCTCTTTGTTTTGTTTTGTGAATTCTTTCGTCGTCTTTTCTGGAATGTTATTTTGAAGTTTTGCTTCAGTCCTGCATGACTAATTGTTGGTAAATTTTTCTCAGACATTAAACAGTTTTGTGTGTCAGTTGTTGACTTGCTTCATGGTTTTGCGGAGTACTTGTTTTGGGAATTGATGGAAGAATGTGTGTTATACCCTATTCACCCTTGTGCTTCTATATCTCTGCGATACTTGGTCATTAATTTTGGAATAGTTGAAATGTCTTTGATCATAGATGTTTACGTTCTATCTCCCCTACTGAAGCTAGGTGTTGAGTGTGAGGTCGAGAGAGCAAGTTAGTCGATGAGGTTTTGAAGCTATATCCATTGAGATGGCCAGGACATTCCGAGCCATTTTTCTCCTCGACTAGCAGTGTTAACTGTTATACGATCGGCTTGCGAAAGAGTTATGAGTGTAACCAATGCATGATGACCTAAGATGTTGTTTTGACCCAAGTAGAGAGGTTTAGACTGTCCAATGACCCATGAATTATAACTTCTCTTTATTTGCAATATAGTGCCACCACCATCCATTGTAATCGTTGATTGTCTTCTCCACACCCATACTCAAAACTTCGCACGAGGATGCTAGCAGATTTGCATCCCTTAGCTATTCACTTATGTGCAATGTTATTTAAGCCTCATAAATTAAGCAAACTTTGCACAGCTTCTATAGCCACGTGTGGCTGAATATCGGGTTCTAGTTTGTCTGGAATAATAATTAATCAGACGTTTATATTAACTGTTCACAGGCTGTTACTTCAAACAGCTACAAGTGCTGCTTTTACTCCATCAATGTCTTTTTTTTATCAAGGTCGTGCCTGATACCAGTCAGTTATTTTCCACCATTGAGACGGTTGTGTTCTATCATATTATTGAAATTTTTATAGCATAAAACCAAGTATCACTTGGTGCGTAATTACAAATTATGCATAAAAGTACTAAATGAACATATTTCCACAGGTTCTAACAAAATTTGCTTCTGAGCCTTCCATCTTTTCACTGAACAGAAAACGAAGCAAGCTGATTGCACGAACAAGTCTCATTATTCTCTTAAGAGTAACCTTAGTTTGTACCAGATGTGCGTCACATACAAACTTTACCTGGCAAAAAAATCTAATATAAGACTATGGAATATCAGATCGATGAATACTGATACTTGACTTAGAAAAACTAGACAAACTTGACATTCCAATCAACATTTCATGTAAGTCTACAAATACTAGTGGAATAGCTACACTTCATAGACTTATTCAGATAATACTGGAAATAACACCAATGAAGTAGGAACCCTGGGTCTCGTAGATAAGACACTGAAATCAAAGAAATAAGTGACAGACCAATTATTCCGTATCAACTCCTGAAGAACCCACCTAGTTATCTCATTTCTGTTCAACCTCACAATATTACTCAATAACTTGTTGTAACTATTTAATGCAATTTAGATTTTCCCGTCGATTAATTGGGTTTAAGCCTCGGTGGGAACACCATCACTCACTGGGGGATGCAGGTACATCCAGATGATGAGTCCCAAATAGGACGAAACGCACATCCTAGATTCCACTGTTAGTCACCATCCACCAATTGACTTCAACTTGTTGTGACGTTTAATTTAGGGTTTAATCATCATGTTTGTTTCATTTACCAGCTAAAAAAACAACGATTTTCGACTCACTCCTAATTTAAAAATATCCTTCCTGTATGAATGACTATAGAACATTTTCTTTGAATGTAGAATGTCTTAGTAATCAATAAAACGATAGAGAAATTTGTAAGCAATATATATAATTGAAAAGCGTCTCAGAATCTTTCAATACTCTTTGCATGCAATTTATATCAATATTTTGTTCTCTATTAACAACTGAGTTCACAGTGAATCAGAACTAGAGGATATCAACCATGCCATATATCAATAGTGGAAATAAATATGATTCAAAAATAAATGGTGTTTTAACAAAATGTATATGTGTGTAACTACTCAATAATGAAAAATAAATAATTATGGAATCTATGTATATATAAATAAAAATGTCTCATAGTGATATGCATACTGGGAAGTGAGATAAAAAAAATAATAAGCAAAATATGGTGGTGACAAGAAGTAGTAGTAGTGCAAGGAAGCAGGGATTATTTTCAAAGACGGTCAAAGAGATATGCTATTTTACTATTGTAGCAAGTATGAATTTGTTGTCTGTCTATCTCTGCGTAAATGAATGTCAACAAGTTGTATGTATTAAAGCAGCGACACGTTCACCTTCAATTGCATATTGATTGTATAATTTAAATGCTTTTTTACTGCTTTCTACAATTACTTTAACATTGGAATTCGTCTGACTGATGTAATCAATTAACACTTGTGGTACTTTCAATTGACATAGAACACCTCTACTTAATATAATAATATTAGGATTATGATGAAGTAATTCATCGACATCTGGGTTTTGTATTCCATTAAAGTGACCAGTACCTGTTTCATTCCAATCCCATGCACGACTTCCTTTTGGCCATAGTTTTGCATCTCTATATGTAACTAATTTATTAGGATTGATAGTACCATCTTCGGATACTGTTTCTACTGTAATAGAGCCCCATGACATTTTTTTAATTAAAGGAGAACACTGAGACATTAGATATAGGCTGTTGGTTGGACGTTCCACAGTTAACTGAAAATGTGACAGACAAGAAGTTCATTGAAAAGACAGACAAAATAATCACAGCAAAATAATAATAATAAGCAATTAATATTTTCTGGTCAGCAATTGATATACCCTACAATTGAAACATATAATTTACAGTAATGCAAAAGTGAATAACAGTCAAAATTGTACTGTTGTAATATGAAGCAAGGGTTGACAGCAGTTCAAGCTGAACAGAAATCCTTGGTTGCTAAAGCATTCTTACCAACAACTTCCACTTTATCTACTGAAAACTTTACTACCTCATATAGACTAGATTTCTACTTAACTCCAAACATAAAGGGTTTTGCCAAACTGTCACGAGGATCACATAATGATAGCCATCTCTAGATGCTATACTTCTCATACACAATAATGCAATGTGATAAACTTTGAGCGCTTAAGCCATAAAAAGTGGACTTTACCGGCTGAACGATGGTGAATCAAGCACCTGGTCGTGTTGTTTTCCATTTGCAGCTGACCTTAACAACGCTTTAGTTAGATGAAATAAGATTATGCACTGAAATGAAACATAATGCTAAAACCTCATAACGAAAAATCGAACAGTTGTTTTCAATAAATTCTTCTTCAGACTCTACAATTATTGATCCATTAATCAAGACATACAATAGCCAGTAAAGACAAATTAGAATCATATCAGGTTTAAGTAATTCTTTTCTAACTTGTTATCACATTCACAAAATCTTGTTCATTTCGCTTCAGTAAATTCATTATTATTTGATAATCGTTCACCAATAGTACTCTTAAGTTTACACCACATCATTGTTATTATTTCACAATCATTATTACGTCATTATTTTCACCCTTGAACTTACGTCTGATTTATTTTCTGTGGTATTCATATTGTCTCACACATTACACTCACCTTCTTTGTGATTTATAATATTCAATAAAATTCTATTGTTCTTACAAATTACTAGTCTTTTTGCTTCATATTTCTGTTTATCATCTCTCTTTACTCTCCTGTCTTGCTTTGTGTGCTGCGTGGAGGGAGTGTGGCAACTCGAACTACTGCACATCTGTGCAAAGTTCTACGTTAAATCCAGTCAGTCATGTGAAGTCTGACAGTACTGTTTAAGTTTCTCAGTTGAAGCAGATGAGAGTGGAATGTATGCCAGAAGGTTTAGACGCATGACTGAGAAGTAGAAAGTGAAGTAGTGAAAATTATTTTTCCAACTTAACATCAAATTAACAAAATTATATTATCTCACTTACCTTATAAAATCTAATATACACAACTGATGCAAACAATGTAATGCCGCCGACAACCAGGACGAGATACTATAAAGGACAAAGTATTGAATATGAATTGTACATATATAGTATTTTTGACTGGTAAACAATAGTTCTTGTATATATATATATATAGATTATATATATATATATATAGGCTCTATAATAATCGCCGAAGTTGCTATCACTTTTCACCAATCAATAGCACCAGTGAGACATCACCCCACTAAAACTACAGTGCCATGGTGTCAGCAAGTAATAACTTCACACCAAGAAGTGCTCTATGGAGACATACGTAACAAGGAAACATTCACATGATAAACGTGTTCTAAGGAAACCAGTCTTCCGTGTTATCCATGTTTAAGAATATTTGTTGAATTTTATGGTTATTGGGTAGTAGGAGACAATAACCAGCAACCTACGAACCTAAGTTCCATGATTCTTAACACACATCAGTAAAGTGTCGCTTGTCCCGACAGGACTTATGTCTCACCTGAAAACTCTGCCTACATCATTCGATGTTCCATACCAGCAACCTTCCAACCAAAATATTGAGGTGCCAAAGATGAAAATGAACTATGATACTGAAAAAACTAAGCGCAGAAATATTTCGTACACACCGATGCTTATTTACTGAAAAAATTAACAGATTACACCGAAAAAATAAAGCAAATGACAGTGTTACAAGTCTATGAGAAACGGGATACGTTAATTTCCTAATATTTGCGCTTAACCTTTTAGCCATGAAGGTCTGAATGGAATGTCAAGACCACTAGTGGTGATGAAATATGAACACCTAGATATTATGAAAACACTGTTTCGTCGATTTTTATGCGAATGATAATGCTTACGTAAGCGTGAGGCTTTGGAAACTGTGGAGTGCGTACGACACAAAGGTGGTATCAAAGCATGAGTCAGTTATTTTACACTTTATCTTAATTTCTGTAGTTGCTAGATGTGAAAACCTAGTGCTTCAGCCAATGCGTCGCAAGTTCAAGTACCATCCACCTACTTCAGACTGGGAAACTGGACACCATCGACAGCCCTCACACAATAAGTGTGGTTCTTAGCCTGGTACATGAAACATTTGTTGCTGGCGACTAAGTCCAAACAATACAAACAGTTGCCAGATACTTTCAAGATGATGACAGAAGTGTATCAGTCATATCTGCGATTCGGCTGGTAGGTTAAGAAAGGCAGAAATGTGTCTGGTACTCGATGATTCGAAATGATAGACAAATAATACTTTCTAGCCAGTCTTAGAGATACGTACTTGAAACATTAGTGAATGGTAGTCTATGCCTATACAGAATCCAGTCTTATGTAAGATGAAGTACGCTCTATGCATGCTAACGACGAAATACCTGATTTTAGCACATGAAAATGAATCGAGACTGAAAATACGAATTGAAAATTAGTACTAGTACGTACGCAACACACTACTGAAAGCATTAAACTATAGGAGCCACTGAACAACAGGGATCTTATCTCAAAACTGCGTAGAACATCGATGTGTTGACAGTGTACACACTATATGTTACGTTAGCACATACTTTTTTCGTTTAGCTATCTCTAAATAAACAGTAAAATTCTCTTTAGTGCCAACACTAAGATTAACTGATTAGTCAATAATCTTCAAAACTGTTGATTTCAGCCTATCAGTAAACTTTGGTACATAACTCATTGTTTTGTTTACCGGTTATGGTAGTGCTTTTTGTACCCTGATTTACTGTAAACGAGGACTACTGAACAAAACTGAATTTTTCAGAGTTATACATCAGCCCCAAGGTAGCAGATGAACACCAGAACAATGGCATTGGTGTATAAACATTTGAATTTTCATCTTGTTGTCTTTAGTAGATGAATGCTATACGAAGAAACAGCATTCTGCAGTGAAAGTTAAGTGTAGATTTCGACTGTCAAGTTTAAAATGCAATATTTCACTTCTAAATAGAAAAAAAAATATTGCTTTACATATCATCAGTGTATATATATATATATATATATATATATGTATATATATAATAAAACATTTGTTTTACCGAACACATGGTATATTCTCGCTACTTACTAACTATTGAACTCGCTAAAATTGAATCATTCATACTACTTACAGCACAGAATTTTCATAAGCCTAAGAAATACCAATACAAACAGTGAAACAAAAATCGGTAACCAGTACGTATGTTTATATTATCTAAATTATTTACAATGAAAAAAAATTAGATTCAACACATATATATATATATATATATATATATAAATAAATTCTATAATTTTTAACAACAGTTTAATTTCGTGTCAAAATAACTAAATGTCCAATGCGTTTATCTAATTCCTTGTCTGTCAGTTCAACACGATTCGATTCAGTAATTATACAACTTATAAATTGTAAGTGTAAGTACTCTGAAGGCGATTTCACCTTTACAGACCAATTGTAATCTGTCTCAGATTGACAGGCCAAACTGACAAAATTCATTAAACTGTCACCACGTAAAGGTGCAATAGCTAGAAATGTTGATCCAGAGCGTAAGGACAATAGTTTATGAATTGTATTTAGCATACTTTTATGGTATGCTTGATTAAAGAAACAATCAGCTGCTATAATCAAGTGAAACTGGTGTATTAATGATTCTGTTAGCTCAGCAACAGGCGGTGATTCAGAGCACTGAAAAATAAATAAGCGAAATTTTAAAAAAATAATAATTAAGTAAACTGGCCAGAAGAATATGTAATTTTAATACACTGAAACGTAATTGATACTCTGTAGTCCGATTTCAGACTAAAGCATAGACTAGATAAATAGTATTCTATAAAGAGTAAAGTATGAGCTAAATAACTTAGTGGTCAAGTTCACATGATACTGGCTCGATCATATTCGGAAGACAGCACTGCTTTCCACAACGTGTAGCTGCTAACAAGTACAAACGCTAGAATTGATATAAGAATAGAACTTCGGCACTGTGGTAGAATATAATTCCATTATGGATAAAATTTATTTTGATAAAGTCACACAGAGTTATACAGTAATATTTACTGATGACGTTTCGAGCACAATTTATTGCTCATAATCACATCAAGGTACTCACACAACTTTCTTGCTTCGTTTATGTGCGTGAGTAAAAAAAGATGACTTGACATAGGAATGGATAAATAATAATCATTATAAAGTCCAATAGACATGCGTGAAACAGAAAGGAAGATAAAATACATTCGGAAACAATATTAGTGTTATCAATAGAATAGAATACGATGGGAAATAAGACGAGTGTTGTTAGTCAATAAGATGGGAAATAAGACGAGTGTTTTTATAGTAAAATAAATAAATGGTTAAAGTGTTATAATGTGAACTGAAATAAATTTCAACATTATTTACTGTCCTCTGATTTGACTGGTAATAATATCTTCCATATCTCTGGTATTTGCGTTGAGTCACTTCTATCGCATGTGTTGTGTTGGGTGAAGACTCGATGAACCAGGATTCAGTAATCAATCTCTCTCTCCACCTGCATATATTACTTTTTAGAATTGTGACTCTGTCCCACCGTATTGTTTGGCTGTGTGTTCATGCATGCAATGCAATTGCTGAGTTTTTTTCTGAATTACTTATCTTCGTGGGATCAATCATTCTTACCTTAGCTAAATTCTTATGTTCTGGTAATCTGACTGATCTACTAGTTTGACCTATGTAGTTGACCTAACTCAAAGTCATTGCAAAGTATTTTGTAAATTATATTATTTTGTTTAATCGGGTCCACCGGGTCCTTTAACCTACAGAAGTTGTCTCTGGGTGAGCAATGCATGAACACACAACCAAACAATACGGTGGGACAGAGTCACAATTCTAAAAAGTAATATATGCAGGTGGAGAGAGAGATTGATTACTGAATCCTGGTTCATCGAGTCTTCACCCAACACAACACATGCGATAGAAGTGACTCAACGCAAATACCAGAGATATGGAAGATATTATTACCAGTCAAATCAGAGGACAGTAAATAATGTTGAAATTTATTTCAGTTCACATTATAACACTTTAACCATTTATTTATTTTACTATAAAAACACTCGTCTTATTTCCTATCTTATTGACTAACAACACTCGTCTTATTTCCCATCGTATTCTATTCTATTGATAACACTAATATTGTTTCCGAATGTATTTTATCTTCCTTTCTGTTTCACGCATGTCTATTGGACTTTATAATGATTATTATTTATCCATTCCTATGTCGAGTCATCTTTTTTTACTCACGCACATAAACGAAGCAAGAAAGTTGTGTGAGTACCTTGATGTGATTATGAGCAATAAATTGTGCTCGAAACGTCATCAGTAAATATTACTGTATAACTCTGTGTGACTTATTAAAATAAATTTTATCCATAATGGACAAAAACTAGAACCCTGAATTCTTGCTAACTATTAGCAAAATACGAAACATCAAAGAAAAAGTTTCAAGGTATCGGAGAATTTAAAGACAAATAAAACAATAGGACTAGATCATAATCATAATCAATTTTTCAGTTAGTCAGCAGTCACAGCTGAACCAGATCACTGAGAAACTTTCTGACAGAGATATTAAACAACGTTTATCTGACATGTAGTCAAGGAATTAGTTTACTCGAATGTCAATAAGTAATAGCTCTGAATACAAAAAGAATTCATTACTTCAGTATTTCCGACACACAACTGATCAACTGACCAGCTCCTAGACATAGAATTGTACGACAAACACAAACTACATTAAACTTACTTATAAGAAATAAACGCTATTCACACTTTTTACCTGGTTTTCTTTATTAACAGACAAAATCCAGTTGCCATAAGTGGTTTATGTATTAGTCCTATGAGCTTATGGGGTAAATCTACCGGTGTAATATCAGGCTACCCATCGATAGTGATCAACAGGATGCAGTCATTGATTCTTGGTAACAACAAGACGCTGACCAGTTAATCTACACCTGGCAATTTGGTTTAGACCAACAGTTAATCAAATAATTTATGGATGTCATGTTTTAGTCTGTCTCACCAACCTAATCCTACTCCAGCTAATATCGCTTGTGGAGGGAAGCATTGACTATGTTTGTGTGAATATTCATCGACTGGGATAATGGGGATGACTGTTACGCATACCCAGACACTGTCTGGCACTGTTAGACAGAGCCAAAATAAAACATGGCATCATTCCATGATTTCAAGGACTGTTGATATGAGCCACTTTGGTAAGTATAGATTACCTAGCCAGCACAGGATCCTGTGGATACTAAGAATCAAAAACTGGAGACTGAGTACTGGTAAAATGACACGAAATCGTTCACAGAGGCTTAGGTGCGCTCATTTGTTATCATTTTATAGATCCTGAAAACTTAAACTTAATATTTCTTAAATTATTTTCACCGATACACCCACCTTTGTCCATTTTAGTATCATTAAGTTCCTCTTCTTTTATCGTATATGTGTCTTTTTGAATTGTGGCACTCCTATTGTGGTGGTGTGATACGGAATATGATTCTTACATATTCCCACAGTTCAGTACTGCGTTAGCAACAGAATACTATGTATATTTGAACATTCTATTTCATGTCGTTTAATGTAAGCCAAAATCACACGCTCAATGATTGGTTAGAAAATATAAAACTAAATATAGCCGTTTGATCACTTGAAAAGATACCTTGGCTTCCGTGTCTTGCCTTCTGTTGTTACACCATGAGCGCTTCTACGTTGATTTATCAGTCAGTCCCTCCAGAGGGAGAGAGAGAGAAAATGCAGGTGTAGAATCACAAACTTGGAAGAAATAAAAAACCAGCGATGACTGGTTCTAAACAGTTGCTTTTTTACTGATGTCGTAAGCTAAGCATTTTTTCTCAAGATGCTGATATAGTTTTTACAGACACATAAAGAGAGATTCAGCATACGTTCTTAATACCTGGACGTGGAATTAAGCGGTCAAATTATTGACTAACTAAATAAGTTGTCTGCAAAACTGTTGGGTTACTAATGAAAGCAGGGATTTCTAGTTTGGGTCCCCATATAACATATCTGAAGACATTTATCAACTGCATAGGTTAACTCACTTTTAATCACTTGGTGAGAAGTCAACTTAACACTGTTACATTAAGTGAAACGAAGATATGTCAACTATATATTTAGATAAAAATTTACCATTATCATAGTAACTTTAACTTACATCTTTTGGCCACCGGATATTTTTTACATCAATATTGATTTGTGGCATAGAAGATTCGGCAATACTTGATAATCTCCCTTTATGATGATCAACAGTAGATAAGATAGAAGAAACACATCGATCATTACCATCTGTGATCAACACATCAGATATCTGGAATATAGTTGAATATTTACGCATGGAAACAGCTACACCCGCAGCTCCAGTCATACCAGCGCATAATTCGCATACTTTTTGGATAGGATAAAATTGAAAATTCACATATAACTCTTTCCATAGACCAGGGTAAAGATTTTCAAAAAACATACTGTGAGCTAAGAAAATTTCGCTTGGCCATAATTGTACATTGCCTGTATTATCGAAGCCAGTTAAAATATCTAACAGTGGATTTGTATGGGTAGAATTTGTAGATTTGGAGTCATTGAGGGTTTTATACAAGTGTAGATGTAAGGACGAGACAACAGTAGGTAACTCAGTGAGATTATCAAATATTGTGATTACAGGACATGGTGACAGTTCCAACCATAATGTGTTTTCATCTGACGCCTGTTAAATGTAGTTAACGAGAGTAAAGATTAGAAAATTAAATAAATGTATGCTATTTTAAACTGCGTCGGTGGCATAGCGGTTAGGACGCTCGCCGAACATGCACATGGTCCGGGGTTCGATCCCCGGCCGACGCACCCCTTTACCTCGCTAAGCCAAAAATAATGCTGGTGAAGAGGAAAGGTTGGGCATGAGGCTAGCAACCTCATCCTGTAAAATAAACACTGCTGCAGAAACTTCAAGCCACTGGCTTGAAGCCCTATGTTCCACTGGGAACGTGAAGGAAAAAAAATTTTAAACTACTCAAACGTGATTTGTGTGAGGCAGATTCGAAATAAGTAATACAAAAATGTTTGGGATATATTTGGCTTTTACATTGCTTGTTGATACCAAATTATTCATTCTCACTACTATCACCGCACAGATAACCACATGAGGAAAATTCTATTTGCGATATGCATATATGGTCTACTGAATTAAATTGTGTATGTGGCATTCAGTAACTGGATTACGAGATCCTATTCCCTTCTAACTGTGGAGATTTTTGAAATCACGCAATGTGATCAAGCTTTGCTCTACGACCTGGTGGTGATCATGTTTTATCAGTCCTTTTATCTACTGGAAACCGAAAACAACAAAAACTTCCGAATAATACGAATATGTTAACAGTAGCAGATGTAATTCAACTGATTTTTGAGTTGGGTATGCTAGGATACAAAAAAAGGAAACAGGATGGCGGGTTAGATACTATCGAAACCCATCAAATTTTAATAAGTACTTAGACTTTGATTCATCTCCAATATCAGTAAAGGTAGGTTTAGTTATATGTTTATATCATCGACCCAGGGTCCTAGCTAGTAATTCAGAAGATCTAAATGATGAAACCAAACAGATAAGGTAAAAATTACCAGTAAATAACTACCCACCAGATTTTATTTAAAAATGTATGAAGACACATAAGGAGTATAAGGGTGATAATGTGAATAATACAAACAATAAGTAATTCAATAATTAATAGTGCTGACATATAAAGAAGGAACTTCGGGAACTCTACGTAGGGTTCTCAATGAGGCTGGAATAATGTGGCATTTTAGCCAACCAACTCAGAGACGAACTGTCGGCTTAGATCCAATTAAGAAAAGTGACATAATTTGCCAGATGCAATATAATAACTGTGAGGTCAATTGTATAGGCCAAACTGGTAGATCAAGATTATCGAAACATAAAAATCTAGCCAGACCTAGAATGATTGACCCTAATATATAAATATAATATAACAAATGTATTATAATATAAATGTCCTAAAAACAAGTTCGGCAGTTAAAATCAATTCACTTGCAATTTAATCAGGCAATATAACGTAAAATTATTAAAAAGTGATATAGTTAGGTGGGAAAAGAGGTTGATCACTAAATCTTTATTCATTGAATCAACACTAAAGGCGTGCAATCGAAATAATGCAATGCCTATACCGGATAGCTGGACTATCACAATAAACAAATATGCATAAAGCTAATTATGAAGCCTTGTGAACAAACTGATATGATTTTAATCAATAAATTGTGGTCGGAACATCATCCAGTTATCAATGCTGTGTCATGGTGTTATATCAAATAACCTCATCTAGTATGGAATTATATTCTACCATAGTGCCGAAATCCTACACTTACACGAATTAGAAACTAACAACCAAGTTATAAAATAAATAATATTTTCTAAAGCTGAGTTTCATCGGGCGATTTTCTCAAAGAAACTGTAGACAGCACTCGCAGTATTATTCGGCAAAGCAGCGGAATATTAATGAGCACACATATGTGTATAACATACCAAGAATTGTGAAAGCTACAGATTAGTAAACCTACTTTAGATATCTGTTGTTGATACGCTATATAGGTCCTCAAACAAGTCAGTTGACTTTAGAAAATAAATGATCAGGATGTAAATATTTTCAGTCCAACTACTACATTCGACACAATATCAGCAGCTTTTTCTTGTACCAATTAAGACTGCTTATGAAAGTCTAAAGCAACACTAACTGTAGTATGTATACGTTAGAAAAACATCGTGAAAGCTTCGCAGCTAAATCATGCAAGTCAAGGGACACAGCACCAAAAACTTCATGGTTCACTTAGTCACCTATTTTCTCCGAATCGTAACAATATGCGGTATTTATAAATGTTTATAAATAAAAGGGGTGTTAACATTATCTCAACACATTTCAGCATCATGTCTACTTTCGCCTCTTTATAATGTTCTCTCAGGTTTGATATTTGCACTTTTTTGAAACCGCAAGTCTTTGCAAACTGGATCGATACATTATTGTACTACATTGCTTAAATTCTATTCAAGCTTTAGAACGCATCATACTATTTTCAGGTATTACCTCTCTTTAATTAAAGATAAGATTTTATTTTGATAAATCACAGTGTTGTACAGTAATATCAAATAAAGATTTATCAAAATAAAATCTTATCTGTAATGGAGTTATACTCTCCCAAAGTGCCCAAGTTTTATACTCTCTTTAACTGCTTTTCTTTTATCCAGTGAGTTAACCCTGTGAAGTGTTGAACGCATCAAATTAGATAGCGACGGACTTCTTTCAGATTTACAAAGGGCAGACTTGTAGTTCAACACACTTTCTCGGATAAAACGATAGTGAAGTATATCGCTACTGATTAAAGTGTATTTACTGAGAAAAGATTCACTGAAGTACGCCCATTATGAAAAACACCTTGGATAACGTGTATACCTTTAGTGAATAAATTGACTTGAATATATGGTACATATATAGCTAGAATAAGGAATAACAGTGAAATTGAGCGGAAAGTTAGAAGGGGATAAACACGGACCCTACGTAAGTGCCGAATTTCGTTGGGTGTTCCTCGTGAAATATGACCAAAATCCGACACCAGTGGTGCAGATGTTTACATATTTTTTCAAAATGAATTCAAATAACTCTTGCGAAAGATCATCATATGGCGATATAAGGTGAAGTTTATTCCATAAGGTACAAATGCACAGGTAAAGTTTACTTCCAAAATTCAAATACATCAACCCAGTAGCCAAGTTTTCCTAAATAAAATGTAATATCATTAACCTTTATTCTTTACACCTCTTTTTCCAATTTTAAAACCATTGGTACATACTTCATTTTTTGTATGACTTTTATGGAGTGGATCGGCAAAAATGGTCGTTAGCACCCATCTGACAAAAGCTGTATTGTATTGTATTTGAATAGCTAATATATCATGTGCCATGACAATTCCATCATTAGAGACCTGAACTGGTTACATTAAAAATCAGCCTAAGCAGTATAGATACACACCTATACTTTGTATCTATTCAAATAATTAAAAACCATGTTATAATTCTTGTCGTATTTTCACTCGTCTCTATCTTCATGCTAACTTCACGTGTTTGTATGATGTAATATTATTATATTTCTGTATTTGTCTTATCAATAGTAACAACTTCGGCTGACGTAATTCAACATAAAGGTTTTCGTTGACTCGTTAGTCAATCAGTTTTGATCTGGTATCAAACCCTGAACCGATAATCGTATGACCTTAAGATAAACTCGTAAAAGAAAAAAGGTGAATTCCACTCACAACACTATTACAAACCAAAAATACTTATGACTGATGAAACGGAATACATACTAGATTCATTTTACATTAGAAATTGTCTTGTCATCAATTTTATTTCCAAACATAAAGTAGTCTTTAAACCCCCTTGGAAAATCCATTGTTAAGCAGTTGAAAGTCACACACATAGACTTTTATACATTCTTGGTAAACCTTTTGATGTCAGTGATGTCAACAGAAGTATGTTGAATACAGAGGCTGTGCCAAGTGAAATTACTTCCAAGGACATTCCCCTGAGGTGACCATAGGTCATGAAAAGTTACTGCCTTAGTATCATACAGACTCTAGGATGTCTGAAAAGAGTGGATGTGAACAAAGTTTTTTCAAATATTATCTTTGGTCTGCAATCTCGCACAATTCACAATTTAGTTTTTAAACATTTCAAACAACAGCTAAAGCTGTGACCGACCATGCCGAGACTTAAGCTATTTTAAGCAAAGAATGTTGCCGAAATTGGCCACAGGATAAATATAGAGGACGTAATCCTTGCACCTCAAGAAACACTTCTAATACGCAAACGTCAGTGGTCATTTAAGTTCTCTACAGTTTAGCCTACTTTAAGTATGAGCTGGTCGTACACTAATAAAGAATTCATTCGTACGACCAAGGCTTTGGAATATGAAATAGGAGCACCAGAAAAATTTATAACATGTTGCAGGTAAGAGCTAAATATCAGGATTAAATATGAATCTAACTAGCCATGAAACTCGTTTACTGATTGAAACTGCAAATTACAGTTACGATAATCACCTTTGCAGTTTGTCCTAGCAAGCGTACTTTGAAGAGCCTCATTACTATGGGGTCTAGCCATATGTAGTCCGCATCAACACATTCACAAACGTCCAGACGCCTTTGTTCCCTGTGAACACGTTTGACTGCACTTGCAAGAATACTCCAAAGTTGTGAACTACGATTTTCTTTATTCATCAGAAAAAAACAGTAACAAAAGATTCAAAATTTCTGAACCAAACGAAGGACTGAGGCGAACGATACTGCTCCAAATTATTCACGGACTGCTACTGCTTCAATTTCTATCTTCCCATTCTGAATTCACGAATTGTATAAGAAAAAAACAACATACTTTTGGTAAGCAAGCCACCTGATATGCAGCTCGAGCAGGGAATGGATCTGCAAAGTCTAAAAGAAATTAAAGCTTAACGTAAGAACATTTACATTGTTCATAAATTGCATTCACCTTCGCAAAATCATTCATGTCAGCTAACAAAACAGTGGTTTTAACGACATTCTGCATGGTAAAGCCGCCTGCCTGAACTATTTCCCTGATATTTTTAAGAGATTGGTGAGTTTGTGACTCAACATCATCACCAGCAAATGCCATCGTCTCAGGAACTAAACCTAACTGCCCTGAGACATACAAAGTGTTGTTCACTGCTACAGCTTGGCTACAAAGTAAGAGGACAAGATGGACGAATACCTGTATGGACCGATTGCTTTGGGTGCCTTAGGGGTATTAATAATCGTACGAACCAACTTAGACATCACTAACAGCTACTGAAGTACACAAAACTAACCTGTACCGTACAGCTCAAGAAGCCGCTCGTATTTGTCCAATATACAAGTGTCCAAATATGTCTCAAAGGCAGGTATAGACTTGATTTTACCGTTTTTCTTTGCTTCTTGATGATGAAGGTTGTTCTTTGGCTTATATCTACTTTGTCTAACGTCATTCTGTGATACTGGTATCAGACAAATCCATCTATTGGGGCTCGCTTGTTGGTGGTAGTGTTAAGGATCCTGAAAACCCGTCAGCTCCTGCGTTGTTCGTACCTCGAGTAGACTTAACAGTCAGTATTATTGCATTTGAGTTGTATTATACACTGGACTAGGACTGTAGTGATGTTCCAGTCAGAATAAATAAGGGGTGAATGTATAGATGGATAGTTATACTTGGCCAAAGCTCTAGCGACACATGAACAAAAACGTAAATAATGTATCCATGGTCGTTCTGCTAAACCACTTTCTCTTCCTTGGTCATATTAATGTTCTTTAAATTTTACTCTATTCTACTACTTCAATTCATTCCACTTCACTTCACCTTCACCATCTCTAATGTTATCATCATCGTAATATTACTACTAATTTTTTAGACAACGCTTAACCTATTATTTTAAAATCTTCACAACAGATGAATCTATAAAAGTTTTGCAGTGCATCCACTTCAACTATACTCCTTAGTACATCATTTTAGTTATCTATATTCTTATCATATGTAAATTGAGTGAGCAATTTCTAATACAGATTAATGCCATTTTACATAATATAAATAAGACTGTACAGCTTGAAGATGAAGTCATTGGAAAGAGATATTTCTTGGCTGGAAGAAAACTGTGTTTCTCCAAAACAGACAGTTAAAACAGTAATACTGAACGATTTCTAATGGGACATAATTTCTGAGCTGTGTTTTGACAATTCATAAGTAGGGGTATTTCTGGAATCTAATATATATATAAGTCATATATTCACATAAAACTTGAATATTATGCGCTCCTATGCAGTAACTTAAAGTCATCAAACTGAAGAAATATCCAGACACTCCTTAAGAAACGGACAATAGTGTTTGACCAACAAGTGGAATATGCTGACTGGTGTATCTGACTGAAACAATAGTAATAATTTATATTTTGTATAAGTTGGTTTTTACAAGAAATGCATGCAATTGTAGCGGTAGGCTATTCCCTAGAATTATTGGCCGCAGCATTCATCACTGAACATTGGATGCTGGCCCTCACTGTTTAAGTCGACTTGTTTAGTTGAAGGCTTCCAGTCAATCATCCACGCCATTTGGTGCGCCGTCGTATCACAGTCGTTCGTTCGTGCACGATCCCTCGCTGGTTAAGCAATCATCTCGCACTTCGATTTGGTCCCGAAATATAACTCGTAATTTGGACGGTCAATTCTGGTGTTTTGCTCTGCCTTAGGTCTACGCGGAACTAATACTATAGAAGTTTTGGTTATTAGATCTTGCGTTAGTATACTACGTACTATCCGTGATCGTCAATACCGTCAGCCTCTGAATCATTTTTACAGGCACCATCATTTATGTTATAAATTGCAGTCCTGAAGCACCATAAATTAATACTTTTTCAAAAGTTTAAGTTGTTCAGTTATTGTACAAGCAATGAGGACAGCTTCTTATAAGTATTAAATTATAAACCCTTCAATAAGGTCACCATTGAAGTTGAGCGACAACCCAAACTTCGTTCCGTTTTCTGCTGATAGTTATGGTCAGTCAGTGAACAGCCTATATTTGAGTAAGTGCTATGCCACCATGTGACTACAGGATATTTCATGAAGAGAAGAACGTCCTGTGAAACTGCGAAATGATATAAAATGCAATTACGGATGATACATCATTAATAGTGCATTTACACGATGTATACAAGGAGGTGGAGACTCCTTGGAATGAGAGTATACATTTAGAATGTTTAATGCTAACCATATTGGTCTTACCATTGGAAATATGATGTTTTCTGTGAAAATATAGCTTTGTTCAAATGTTGGTGTTGTTGTGTTTTTAATCAAAGCAACCAGACATTGAGCAAGCAACAAATATGAACAAAGGGTAAGTTCCACCTTTAATAAAGGCCTAGGTAGTCAAAATAAAATAGAGTATAATAGTGCGTAAATGAAAAGATTATAGTGAGGTAGGTAAGTGATATTTAAGTGAGGAGTGAATTCGAAGATCTGGAAGATTAGAACCCGTGGGACAAGCTGACCTGTAAGATGTCTCAGGAATTTTCGTAGGGTCCAATGAGTAGCATCTTGACAAGAAGCTGAATAGGCTTGTAGATGGTAGGAGCAAAAGCATTTCTTACGATTTAGATCTGTACAGCATTTATTCTTCTTTCTTTTGTTACAGATGTTGAATTCTCCAGATGTCAAAAAATGCATGTTGCTGTCCTACAGATTGGAGCGATTCACAGTTTTGACCACTAACATATCTGCTGATCAGAAAGCACCAACCAATCTTAAAATGAGGTGCAAGATACCATTCCATAACTGTTCATCAAAAGAGATGCCAACTCACTCAAATATATGTTGTTTAACGATGGGTCATTACTATCATCAGGAAATGGAACGAAGTATGGGTTGTCGCTCAACTTCGATGGAGACCTTCGTGAAAGATTTACAAATTAACAATTATTAGAATCTGTTCCGATTGCTTGTACTGTAATTCAACAATTTGAACTTTTAAATAGTGATAATGTATGCTAATTCACAATTGTAATTCGTAACATAATTGATCGTGCCTGTAAAAATGGCATGCATTTCATGTAAACTTACCCGTTTATACGAAATATATATTATTATCTTGAAAAAGAGGTTTTCGACTTTAGAAACAAACCTCATGATCGCAGTTTGCGTAGATTCTATCTCGTTATATTCAGATGCCGTGGGTTTGATGGTATCCTAATGACTAGATCCATTACAGTATTCCAAGATCAAACTGAGTTTAAACATAACATATCGAACTCCACAAGCGGGTTTTCACCTTATCTAATTTTCGTATCAACGATCAAATTTCTTTCCTATTATAAAACTACGATTAGACTGCTGAAAAAATGGAATAAATACATCACTGACTCAAAATAATACATCAATAAACTTTAACTCAAGGATGCTTTTCACAACAAGTTATATAGGAGAATTGACTTCAAGCTTTATTTTTCCCAGATATTTGTATTACATCCATCTGATGTCTGGGTTTTTTGTTAATGCGAAGACAATATTTCTATATGGAGGATTTCATCATGAGCTGACATCAGTTAGAGAACCATTGGAAAACCTGGGAGTACTGGACAGCTGTTTCGTCCTAGTTTGGGACTCTTCAGCAGTACGCACCCACCGGGATTCGAACCCAGGACCTTCTGGTTACAAGGCGAGCTCGTAGACCATTGAGCCACTGGGACCCGATCCAATGGTCCTTGAATTCTAACTTCTGCCAATTCACGACATAGCGCGACCATTTCGCAATGTCTTCTTAGATGAGTTACTGTCACATCTTCAACCTGCTGTACCCTACTGGTCACGGCTTCCCACTAGAACCCCAGGTTAACTGCCTGAATAGGGCCAGTCACTAGTGAGCATCAGATTAATTTTCAAGTATTGTTTAGACTCCCAGGTTTTCCAATGGTTCTCTAACTGATGTCAGCTCATGATGAAATCCTCCATACAATCAAACAAAATCCCTACCAAACCAATACTTGAAAATTTATTAACAGGTAGATTTCAAGTATTTTAAATGTATGAATGACAGAAAAGCAACGTAAGAAGTAAAATATTCAAGGCATTCTTCATAGAATAACATGTATAATTAAAAGACATTATGGATGACAACTCCCATCAAACTACCACGGAAGAAGACTTTACCTTAGGAATATTAGTGACAAAAATGGCGTAGAATGCTGTTTTCGCCTTAATTCTGGACTTCTATAAAAGATGATCTAACAAAGAAGTTGATTACAACTTTGTCTTCCCACAATAAGAAATTAACGAAAGGTATTCTAACCAATAAAATTTTCGATGTTATTTATGCAGATACACGTAGAAATTATATTTGGATAAATCTTAGTGACAGTAAAATAAATAAGTTCAGCGTTTCTTTCGGCAAACTGGTCCGAACTTCTTTAACAAGATAATTAGAAAGAGATGAAAAGTAAGATATTCACAAGTCGAGAAACGAAATAGTTTGCAAATAGAATTTGACGGTGGAAAAATAATACACTGAGTACATTGTTCAATCTAAAAATGATCGTTTGCCACTTTGGCAATCTTAAACTGATAAGCATTTAGTCTAATACTGAAGGGTAAAACTAGTGAATCAGGAAAAACAAGATACCAGACATTGGAACTACTGAATGGCTTGCATTCTCCCCCAAAATAATTGGGTCGGACTATGCTCAGAATTTCTTTCCGTCTGAATGTTATCCGTAATATCTGCCGGGACGTTTTCTTCACACAGTTACGCTCCATTAAATCACTGAAGTCAAAGACATCATACCATTGTAGTACTTCCTACAAAAACGAATGCTTTTTTCACTGTGTAATTTGGATACCTTCGCAGTGAATCACATAATGACTTCGGAGCTTGAATGTCATTATTATGGTTATAATATTCACTTTGAAAGTAATATACTGTTTGAATTAAGGCGAAAACAGCATTCTACGCCATTTTTGTCACTAATATTCCTAAGGTAAAGTCTTCTTCCGTGGTAGTTTGATGGGAGTTGTCATCCATAATGTCTTTTAATTATACATGTTATTCTATGAAGAATGCCTTGAATATTTTACTTCTTACGTTGCTTTTCTGTCATTCATACATTTAAAATACTTGAAATCTACCTGTTAATAAATTTTCAAGTATTGGTTTGGTAGGGATTTTGTTTGATTGTATGGAGGATTTCATCATGAGCTGACATCAGTTAGAGAACCATTGGAAAACCTGGGAGTACTGTCAAACAAAATCCCTACCAAACCAATACTTGAAAATTAATCTGATGCTCACTAGTGACTGGCCCTATTCAGGCAGTTAACCTGGGGTTCTAGTGGGAAGCCGTGACCAGTAGGGTACAGCAGGTTGAAGATGTGACAGTAACTCATCTAAGAAGACATTGCGAAATGGTCGCGCTATGTCGTGAATTGGCAGAAGTTAGAATTCAAGGACCATTGGATCGGGTCCCAGTGGCTCAATGGTCTACGAGCTCGCCTTGTAACCAGAAGGTCCTGGGTTCGAATCCCGGTGGGTGCGTACTGCTGAAGAGTCCCAAACTAGGACGAAACAGCTGTCCAGTACTCCCAGGTTTTCCAATGGTTCTCTAACTGATGTCAGCTCATGATGAAATCCTCCATACAATCAAACAAAATCCCTACCAAACCAATATTTCTATATCTCTTTATGTGTTACACAGACAGACTATTTTGCAGACTGTTCCGACTGACTGTAATGTCAGAAAGAACAAACGAACTAAATTCAACATACATCGAAACATGTGTAATTTATATAATAACTTATCCATGCCTGTACAATTGGTATGTTCCTGCATAAACAGGAATAAATATAAAATATAAATATAAAAATATATACACTCGTACTAGAATTCAGATACCTTCATCTCACTATCCCTCTTATTTCAAATATTCATTTACTTATCTTTGCTTACGCCATCTATTAGACCTTGAAATTTTGCATGTTTTTCTATCGTCATCAGTAAATATAACAGTATATTACTATGAAACTTTATCAAAATAAATTTTACCCATAATGGAACATTTCCTCTGGTTCTACAGTTATGCATACAGAGTAGCTACTGAAATATAGCCGCCTACAGCCATAAAGTTTTAGGTTACATAGGATACATAAGTCCAGTGCACTGCAGTTCCAGCCATATTTTTGTGATAATAATAATATACTTTATTCCAAAAACAGTACTTATAATACAGAATGGAATTCTCAGCTTTGTCACAATATTGCATCTGATTTACTCAAAATATAAATAAAATAAAAATTAAAACAAAATTAACCGAAGGAATTTGTCCACATTTATGATAGAAAGTCAAAATTATTCGAAGCACGAATTGAGATTATTAAATATAATAACAATAATAATAACAACAGTGAGTTTGTTTCAAACAGTATTGTCGATTCAGTCTGGAAACTTTAGCATGTTATGGATAATTGGGTCTAATGTTCTGTTGATATAGTAAAGTAAGGAAAATACAAAATTAACAGTCATAACACAGCTTAGATTATGCCCACACTTATGAAAAAAATTTTAAAAAATTGAGAGGATTTTATGTATAAGAAATACAATAACAATTAAGTTTGATGCTTTAAGGGTGGAGGAACTGGTTTATTTAGTTGTGCAAAGAAGGTTAGTTAGTTCATGCCTGACACTATTTTCATCACATAAAGTACGTGCCGAATATGGTATAATATACGTAAATGCCGCCGTTAATGGAATATCGTTCAAATCACAATTATTACTGTCAGCTTACGTCACTTGAAGTGTGAGACTTGTGATTAGTGGGTTCCTTCTCCAACATGAACTGGAATAAGTTCTTGGGGTTCTGCAAAGTTTTCCTGACAAATGACATTCTGTCCATCCGGACCTTTGCACCGCATGGTTTCTGAGTGTGATGTGTACCCCATGGTCAGTCCTTCTCATTAAGAGCTTGTATTTATGCTATTCCCGAAATTTAGACTGCAATGTACGCTATTCGTTTTGCTGAGGGACATCTGAGACTTTTGTACTTATACTCCTCTCGGTGTTTTCCATGACTTGTTGGCTGATAATGCTGCACTATCTTTGATTCACGGGGCACCATACAAAAGTTGTTGCAATTTGGTTTCGTCTAACATTGGCGAAGTTGAGCAGCATCCCATTCTATGCTCTTGAAATGTCGAATGACTTAACGGCCTGGTCTCTAATACCTCCTGGAGTCTTGATTATTGTGCTTTACTCCAGTGTATGGTCAGAGGTCAAAACATAGTCGGGGTTCGGGAACTTTCCACTAGTGCCACATTGTTGTCATCTCTTACATTCTCAGTTAAACTAGACCTTCTGAGCGTGTGTGACAGATTTTTCTGCAGGGTTCCCTGAACAAACACCTACAATAACAACACTGACTTGATAATTGCCTTAGTTTCATATTGCCATAACGGTGCAGAGCAAATGCTGGTTGTCTCCACCTTCATATAATTCGATAGAGGCATCCAACTGATTCTTCGTATGGCCATTGGTGGAAGGGTATAATATCAAGTTTGGGTTTCAGCGAGTGGCGGTTTCGTCGTTTGAACGATTCCTAATTTCTCGCTACTGTAAATGTCAATTCCACCTCAACATTTATGATCCCAATCCCATCCAGAAGAAATTATGCTACTTATGAGAACACACTGGAATCTCTGTATAGTGTACCTCTTGATTTTCTCTTTTTCATATAATGTTTACCGACTGACATGGGATCGACTTCTAGAATATCCATTGGTTCTACCTTCTCGAAATGGTGTCGTTACTATTATTATTTTACCTTTTTATGTATAGTTGACATGAATGTGACAACATATACCGTCCTCATCTGTGATTAAAGTATGCTTGAAGAGCAAGCGATTTATTATTAAGTAAGTAAATTTAAGACAAATATCAAAATGGGACTCCTAAGGTAGGGGGCAGCTACATTCCTCTCCGTGTAGGGATCCATATTCTTGATCTCGAGGTTTGTTTCATGGTAATTTTTTAATAGGGACTCACAGAGAAAAGTTAAGACCATTGGAAGCATATTAGAATCCAGTTTTACGAAGACAATTTGTGAAGGACTACAATCATGGGTATCTGTCTCTCCAGTCTTGAAAAGCTTATCAAGTGAAACGGTACTGAATACATTCTCATATAAAACGTTTCAAGTTTCAACTTCGTATCATGTTATCAGCCACCGGATTATGGTTTTATGTTGATCATCCAATTACCGCAGGTTACTTATGATTTCCTCAGTTTAACTACGAAGAACGGAAGTGTTTGAGCGAAAATGGTGAAATCCTCTAGCTTTGGAAGTATCACTACAGTTAACATGCGTTATAAGTTCATCGCAGACGAAGTCAATCTCAGTACAATGTTCATCCTACTGTTCGTCCCACCTGACTTACTGCTACAAGTGAAAGAATTGGGTAAGAAGGGCCAACTTAATCCACAAAAAGTGAATTGTAGTGTGCACCTGAAACACGCTAGACGATATATGACAACGTGATTATAAGTCACCATGGTTTTCAGAGATTTGCCAAGAAGTTAGCATAAATTTGCATGTATATACATTATCTGCTGTTTGTGGTAGTCCCAATAAAACTTCTAACCTAAAGGTTCTGTAGGACGTACTGAATTTCATCATTCATACAGCTGATAACAATGTTAACATCTTAAAATATCGTACTGTATGAAAAACAAGATAAACTTTTTCATAAACAGTTCAAAGAAGTTAAAATCTCGCCCTGGAAAATTAATTTTTCATTCATCAGCTCTAAGGAACTGTGTCAAGTGATTTGGGTGTGATAGTAAATAGCCCCTAAACATTACGGCCGGGGTTTTTGGAATAAATTATCAACTCCAACATTCAGCACGCACTATTTTCATAATTCAGGGTAAGTTCTTACAAATAATTTGTTAGTAGAAGGAACGAAGCACCACTGATTGGATGTAGGAATGTACCAGCCAATATGATTAAGTCAGATGAGAAACGTAAAACCTATAAGTAATACCATTTTATTCAAAGAATAGCTAATAAATAGTCGCGAAACTGTGAAATAAAGAACTTTAGAGTGCAATATAAGAGTTTTGTTTTACTTATATGATGAACATTGTAATCACCGCAACGTAACTCTGGTTTTTTAAAGTTTGACGGAATGACCTCGAACCCTTTCATTCTCCCGGATTTTGAGACTATATTTGAATTAAGAGATAAAGAGAAGGAAGAAAAGCTTAAGGTTTTTTTCATTGGTGGATTATATAATTCAGCTGTTTAGAGGGTAAGGGAGCTTTCGCAGTTAAAAGTGCACGAGAAAATTCCATATGACAAAAAAGTTAAAACAAGACGTTCTTTCCTCGAAGAACTTTCTTCCGGCATTAGAGATACTACCGCCGATGCGGATAATACTGCTTTTATCTTACAGAAAACAAAAAGTTTGCTAATATTTTAATTTTTATTTGCCTGTAGGACAATTCACTGACAGAGAAACAAAGGATCAATTCATTGCGAATAGGAGAGAAATGTTTTTTCTGGAGTATTCTATCGCTGTTCAGCGGGCAGAACTAAAACGATTGGTTGACCTAGCGTCTCATGAAGAGAAAAAACTAGAGCTTGCTGAACAATGTTTAGAACAAGATGCTGCACTTTTTGATGAGTTTCTAAAGGAGAATGATAAGAGTTCTGTCGAAGCAGTTGCTAGGTTGGTTCAAGCTTTTTTCCCTAACAATAATGTCAGTTGGTGTGTGCTTACCCTGTGAAAGTGGTTGTATTTGTGAAAATATATTCAACTTATATGTAAGGTTATTTTCTATTCTACTTTATCACCAAGGCAAGTTATCGCGCTTGTGACGTCTATTAGAAACCATAAACCTGACTCGATGCCTTACTCGAGTAAGATCTAATATGTCTCAAACAAGAGATTTTTATATAGCTAGTTAGCATTATCCACTAACTGTGCGGTAATTTAGTAACTGAAACTTCTTGCAAACCTGTTTTAACAATTCCTTTCGATAGCAAAGCCATTACTGCTTTTAATACTTTCGAAATAACCACATACCACCGATGTTCATAATAACTATCTCAATAAATTGTGTTGAGGTGAATACATATTGGTTGATCAGGTCTTGCTGATCATTAAGACTGATACTATTCAATCGTTGGTTACCATTCTCGTTTCTATTTTTGATCTTCAAAACCTATACAATTCTTTTATTATATTTAATTTTTTCTTAATCAATGATGTTATATATAGCATCGTTTTTAATCCGTCGCACTTCTTACTTTAAGATATCATCTTGTTTCGTTGGTTTCTTTGCATACGTATATGCATGGGCATGTCCGCTGAAAGGCGGAAGTACGTCTTAGAAGCTTGTTAATTATTCTGAAGGGGTTTTCAAATAGTGGTGAAGCCCATGATTTCACAAAGTGCTCTGTTATTTAACCGAAGAACAAACAAAATATGTCGACCTTAACTTATTAACTTATATTCTTCAAGTGGACTTGTAGGACAGATAAAATATGTACTAAGTATGTACAGCAACCGCATTCCTCCGCATGTAGTGCTCGTTGAAATAGGATTGTGATGCAAAAGAGTCAGAGGTGGTTAAGTCAAAGCATGGTATTATCTCGTCATGTTATTCTCTTGTGTCAGTGACACTTTTGAAAGTTTAGGTTGCATAACTGGAGTCATCTAAGTGGTAAAAATCAATGACTGAAGAATTTCTTGACAAGGCTTAAAATTCTTGGCAGTGGTTCACATGCGTCATTTCAAAATAAAGGACATCTTTACTAAATTCTGTTAGTTCCTCCTCTATGTTCTTGTACTCGTGTTTCTCTGTTGTAGTGTCATTTCACTCCAAATTGTCTTGGCTTGAAATGATGTATCATTACACAGGGATTTGTGTTAGTCTTTCTATTTTCAGAATCCTAGTTTATACCTTTAACTTTCAAGATATGGTGAACAGAAGGGGATAATGTGAGCTTATAACATACTGTTTGCCATTTATGGTAAATAATAATGTTACAAGATAAATCACGGGTGATTTTATCGACAAAACCTTTCTTCGACAATATTGGCAATTTATCATAATCTACGATCTGAACTTCAAATGAAGTTGTCTGCTGGAATTCAAGCTTTAGAAACAGTTTGTATGAAAGATCCATATTCTGTATATTCATTTTAACAGTTGCTTTGAATTGTTTAAGTTTTACTAATTTCAGTTAAACATTTTTAATTTCCCAGAGAAGTCACTGTGATGTACAGTAATCCTTGTTTTTTTCTTTCTAGTTCTGAACAGGAAGCTCGTAAACGTGCCATGATGGTTGATAAAATTAAACAGTTAACTCTACAGAAATCACAAATCAATGCGGAGATTACAAGACTAAAAGAAACTGTAAAGGATTATAAATATTTCAAGGGATTTATTGAACGTTTAATTCCAGAACCGTTCAATACAATAAGACAAACTGCTAAACAAAATAAGCAACAAATGAAATATAGACAGAAATTATTGCTTGACAGTTTTAATTCAAAGCCATCATCAATTGGTAAAGATTAAAACAACAATTTTGCGTGAATATATTGGTTTAAATAATATTTGAGAAAATAGGTATCAAGCAAGTATTATCAGTGAAGAAACTGCTCTATTTGTATTATCCTTTGGTAATCGTGGTAACAGTGGATAACTTTCCTGGTGTGGTTGAGATTTCTGAGCCGGGTGGTTTAACTGCATGGTTTCCATTGTCTTTATGGACAATATCTTCAGGCCAGACTTCAGAACTAAGTGAAGTTATTTGAATTCTCGACGGTGAACGCAACCACATCAGTATCATCCACTGCAGCTACTATTATATAGCACTGTAGCAGGTTAAAAGACTTCTTATTCAGGCAGTCACCTGAGTTATTACTTCTATTCTTTTGATAGTGTATTCTTAAATAGATGCTTTCATTTATGTCCTTAAAAGAGACCTAGTCCCATTCAGTCTACAGGTATATTCTGCTACAAACTGTTGGTAAGCCGTAAAAGTTAGGTCAGCTAAATTGAAGTCTTCTGGCAGCTTATTGTACGATGTGAATAAGACATTTTTTGTTCGTTTAAATTGATTACATCTGATAACTAATTTTTTAGTGTTGATCATTATCTTTGACGTGAGCATTTTCGTAGGATTGTTTTAAGTTCCATCTCAGTTTCTGTTTTTATCACTGGTTTTGACTTATTATTTAGAAGTGAAACACTGAACGGATAAGTTCTCAACGTGCTTTATGAAAATAAAGTTATGTCATGTCTATTGCCTTGCATTATTTCAATTAGTCAATTGTTCTTAATTAGTGCAGTGTCGCTGGATAGAAGCATATTGATTAACCATTTTTATTTATTCAAACTAAATGGTTTGTTGGTTTTTATTTTCTAATCCAAGCGATTCTATCAGCTGACTTTTTTTCCTTCACATTCCCAGTGGAACATAGGGCCTCAAGCTAGTGGCTTGAAGTTTCTGTAGCAGTTTTTAATTTTTACAGGTTGGGGTTGCTAGCCTCATGCCCAACCTTTCCTCTTCACCAGCATTATTTTTGGCTTAGCGAGGTAAAGGGGTGCGTCGGCCGGGGATCGAACCCCGGACCATGTGCATGGTCGGCGAGCGTCCTAACCGCTATACCATCGATGCACATCAGCTGGCTTTTACGTCAAAATAATTTATACGCAGTTTTACACTGTTTGATTAGAATTACTTTAAGAACTATTTTCCCTACAATATGTACATGAGTAAGTACTAAGAAATATTTAAGTGGCATATTCTGTGTGAAGATAAGGTTGAAAACTGGTTTGTACATGAACTCAAATTAACTGCTTCCAGGTTACCTGTACAAAACATTTTCAAATAAACTTAAAGATTATACTTCCAGGTGACTTTTGGACCCAGTGTACTGAATAGAATTTTAAAATAGGTACAAAGAAAAGAGACTGATGCAAAGGGTATAGAGGAAAAAGATGATAAAAGCTTTAGACTTTTAGAGTGTTGTATACTCACATTTTCAGAGTGTCATATGAATAGTAAATCTGATTTTGCCTAACACTCATTTATATGCTTATATCTTACAACATGTTAAAATTAGAATAATACTCCCTGTGATTTTCAAATTTGCGCATGAGTTCAGTGGAGAATCAGTCATTGAGATTAACAACTTCTGACATTCAAGTTTTATTTTTGTTTAACTCACTTCTGTGGTCTAATACAATATAAAATAATTACTTTTCATGGGGCTTAGGACTTGTTGTGCATATTGGAATTCTGGTGACACTAAAATGGTAACGAATATCCATTAATTAATGTTCAGAAAACTCAACATATACAATTCTGAAGAACCCTATCGAAATATACTTGCAGTAAGGACATATCTAAGCTTATACTCAAGCTTCTATCCTCCCTGCCTTGATTACTTTGTGTGAAGTGTAGAGTTTATATATATTTATTTATATATATAAATATACATATACTGAGATAGAGAAAGGAGCAGAGAGGCGAAATGGACAGATAGACGTTGATAATAACAGAACCGCGCATAACACAAAAAGGTAGGAAGCCATAAAGAGTGAAAAGAAAGTGTTACAATGATCGAGAATAAAATTTGAAAATAATATTTTGGATAAACAATAGAATGCAGTCCACTTTTTTAAATCTCTCTCTATAAAAATACAACAGCTTCAAGTGAAAAATCTAATCGGAAACCATCTTTCGTTTTAACTAGAAGATCATCACTAATGTCAATCGCAACTACGTAAGTTCTTTTTTTTGCATGAGTGTTTGATAAAAATAAGTTGTGAACACAGTGTTTATTACAGCAAACTTTAATAGTTTTGTAAAGCTGAATTAAAAGGGAGGTTTACATAATAACCTTTTAATTCTTAAAACGACTAAAATGTAGAGTTGTCGATAATAGACATTTGCTTCTATCATACAAATTAAGCAAATCATCAAATTTAATAATTACCAACAGTGACTTTATAGATGTTTGAAAGAACTAGAGAATTTTGATGTGGTTGTGTTCTCTGAGCTCACTTCAAATTGAAGTATGCGCTGAAGATGTCACCTAGTAGGGTGATGAAAAAGCTTCGCAAATTAACTATCCAGCTCAGAGAACACAACCACATCAAAATCATCCACCTGAGCTACAAATCTTCTTCACCATATCTAGAACTGAAGAATTTACTGCAAAGTTTTCAACTACACGTGTTACCTTTAGGCGCTGAATTAGATGCTCAAACATACTGACACACTTGGCCACTGTGCCACCGAATCCAAAGGTCAGAATTTCTACTCACCTGAATTCTGCTACTTGATGTAATCATATAAAACTACGCAGTGACTTCTGTTAATTTAGTTTAACAATAGCATTGAAAGCTGCAACGTTTTGAAGTTTATGGGTGTAAAAAAACCATTGGTGAAGCAAAATTTTACAAACAGTTGAAGTTAGTCAATGCTGTGTTTACAGGATGCATCTTTTACAGGTAAAACGATTACCTATAGTCTGCTATAAGGAAATAATGTCTTCTTGTACAGTGTGTTATACACTTACAAAAGTTGGCAGATTTTCAAATTAGTCATTAACGCAGGGTAATAAACTGGTAAATACCTAGAAAGTGACAATAAATGAATACATATAAGCCTGTAAGACAGGCCATCCCAATAATAGCCAATAGTCGATAATGGTCTCTGAAGTATAAAAGGTTACATTTGAGAGCTTGTACATGAGTTGGTGGTTCAGGTTCGATTCCCGGCCGACTCACTCCTGAACCCTGTCATAAATTCTGCCACTACGGTACCTTCAAAGTACAAGCTTGCAGTTCTGTGTTCAACTCACAAAGCAAAGGAATTGAAACATGAAAAGAAAAACATGCCAGAAAAATCTTTACCGGCAATCAGTTGCTTGGCGTGATTCTATCATGACTTATTCTGATTCCAGAAGATGTCTGCCTTTCCTTCCACTAAACCGCATACTCTTCAAGCGTTGCATTTATTTTGTATTCCCAAAAATATTCCTAAGAAAGTAATGACAACTTATTTTACTGTTGTATCACTTTGAGTTCAGTAAGTGTCAATTTTGTTTCACTGATACGATTTTTTAGTTCAGGAATTGCTTACATTTCTTATTCCGTCTATAACTATCAGAAGTATATTTTGCAGAATACTAGATTTCATGTGAATCCATTTTCTCTCTTAGACCACCGTCTAAAGAAGTGAAAAAATTGAAAGAGATTCAACCGTACGATGACAGTTCAAGCAGTGAAGACAGTGTAAGTTATCCGTCTTTTGAGTAAATATACATATATATATATATTTGTTGAAAAAACCTTTCCATGTAAACAAAACTGATTTGTGAACTCAATATATATATATATATATATATATATATATGTATATATATTGATAGTCTGTCATAAAAGTATTTCAGGAAAAATGTGAAAAAAGGGCTACCGAGGTGAAAGTTAATGTTGAAAGTAGGAAGCACTTAATTCTGTGGAGTAGCATACTGTATTGTTTAAAAACTATAACTTTTCCCATTTGATATGAGTTCCATGAAATACCAGATGTTTGATTATGATAGAGTTCATACACATCATTTCCACTTCAGTAATCCACAATCTCATTTCAACTTATTACCACCTGGTTGTTTATTTGTATTTTCTAGTTGATCAAATACATTTATAGAATTCCTCATTTAACATAAATAAACGTTTATTTTACGATTTTAGGATATGTTGTAATAATCTCTACTGGTGGGATGGAAATGCTGAGTAAGCACTTAAGGGATTCTTTTGAAGCGCTATAAGCACCGCATGTCATAACTTTGAACTACATGAAACTAGGGGAGATTACGACATATCATTCTTCTAGTTCCTTGGGGAACATGCAGATAGGAAGCATGAAATCAAACACTAGTCAGTTGCCATTCCCGACTTCATAAAATGAAACATAACGTTCCTGGACAATTATTATGACTTCTGCAAATTTTGTTAAAGTTTTGCAAAGACCTCCTACTTCTACGCCTTCCTTTAGCTTCTTTTTGAAGGAAACACTGATAACGCGGCGTAGCCTGATCGAAAATAATCCACCACCTCATAATTTAGAAACTTCATTCCTTTTTAATTAAACCATAAGTCTAGATTCTAAGTCGAATTGGATTTTATTTTGAGAAAACCAATAGACGCTTGCTGAGGTTGATTATAAGGAAAGACTTCTTTCTTTAGCAAATAAATAGCACACATCTAACTAAAAAACTGTTTAATGATATAACTACGAACAATAAATTGTGTCTGAAATACCCTCCAGTAAATGATTCTGTTTCACTGAGTAATGTATCCATTATATACGGAATGTTCACTGTTCATCAACCTTAAAGTTGAGGACATTTTTTCGGTTGGCAATAAATTACTTTGCCTCTCTCAAGTACACTCGTGTGTGATCACAGAAACTGTTCCTTTTTTAAAAACAAAAATACAAACTGAAAGAACTTGTCAGACAAAGTTATTCTACTTTTAGATACGATTATTATTTAACTGTCATTATTTTTAAGTCTGTTTTTTTAAAATCTGTATAAAGTTGGAAAAATTGACATTTTATTTCCTCGCTATTGTAGAATTTATCCAACTAAAATAAACACTACTCCTTTCTCATGAAAGCGCACTCCATTGTCTGCTGCCATCTCTCTGTCTCTTCTTACTGTCTTTTACTTTCCTGTCAATCCTTTAGGATGACGACGTGTATTTTACGAATCCTGAACAAATATTAACTATTATGCGTGATTTAGAAGACACTAATTTACGATTGATTCAACACTGTCAAGAATCAGATGATACCATTGAAATATTACGGAATCAAGTGAACGAAAGTGTAGATAACTAGTAAATTGTTTTTTTCCTAATCCTAACATTTTGGTGTTTTATTATTTATTTTAATTTTATTACTTTGTGTTCCGAATGGAATATAGGGATTCAAGCTTGAGTTTTTAAGTTTCACTACCAGTGGTGTTGACTTTTTATGCGGTAGGGCTGCTAGTCTCACGCCCAATCTTCGCTCTTTATCAGGCTTACTACTAGCTGAACGAAGTTTAGGAGCGTGTTGCCTGGTGGTCGAACTTCGGACCACATGCGTGGGTGGAGGGCATTCTACTGCTTAGCCACCGATGCATATTTTGGTATTTTATAATAATTATTTTTGAACATTCTGGTACTTTACTGGAAATAAAAAAAAGATATTTGTAAAATACATCTGAAATGTGATAGAAATATACTTTGTAGAAAATGTTGTTTAAATTGTGCATGACTAAGCCACAGTCTGGCAAACAATGTTATTAAGTGTAATGTAATATTGTTATCCAGTTTTGTGTTGCATTCAGTTTTAAATGGTTATAGGTGATCGTAATAAACGTTTCTTGACATTCTTTAGAAAGGTGTATTTGTGACCGAAAAGGGAAAAAAGTTATAGTTCTTCTACTGTTTGTTTTTATCTTCTAGAAGGTTTACCTTTTAAAGCATTTGAAATTTCTGAATGAAGTCGATAATATGGATGTGTTATACTGTCACATAATCAAAACAGATTCATTAAAAAGTCAATGTTATTAAATTAGATTTTTAAATTAGTCAAAACACAGTGTGATTATTGTACTCTTTTAACTGTATTATTTCTCGTGTCTACTATATGACAGACGGAAATAGATTCCTGTATATAATTATGCCAGTCTAAGTTGCTAAACTCCCATGCAACACTGAAACACAGTACTTAAAATAAATAGATTCGGTTATAAGAGTCGAGAAAACAAAGATGGGTGAAAACATTTAACAGTCTTTGAAGAAAATAGACAGTATTTTTAAATTTTTTTTTCTTCCGAATATTATCATTGGAAGTATTAAGTGATTAATTAATTTGACTAAAAACTTTGATGTTCATTACTCTTCCGTAAGGCACTAATCTCAACTTGTATCACATCTATTTAAAGATAACACTATTTAAATCAAAACAAGATTTTGAGCGAACAATTGTTTTCGATAAATATCTTCTTCAGGCTCTACAGTTATAAATCCATGAATAATAGAGTACATATAGCCAATAAAGGCAAATGAAAATAATATCAGAAACTGTATTGGGGTGCATGTGTAAGTTGAGATGATAGTCGATTAGTTAACATAATCAATCAAATGTGTATAGGGTGTATAGTCAGAAAAATGTGATAAAGTGTGAATGAACAATTGGGTGATATAGTGCTGTTTTATAGTCAACAGAATACAAGTGTCACTGGGGTGAGAGAAATGCGATAGCCACAAAATACATACAAACACACATTAACAAAGGGGACACTGAATGTGAGGGCTGACCGATAATGTCTAATGATAAAATAAAGAGGCTAAATTGTAATAAGATGTTACAGAGTTGGTAGGCTTAGTGTAAAATCACAAAGGTTGACAAAATTAAGGGTAACAATGAGGTGAAATAGACTGGGTGGAGAAATGGATAATAAGGACATGATATCACAGGATGATAATAATGGTAATAATAATAATACGGAAAATTATGATCCTGGTGACCTTATAGTGGGCCAGGGTAGACAGAGAGAGTGAATAAGTTTTTTCTGTACACATAAGTCTGGTCTTTCTCTATTTAATATTCAATTTTCTCATTTTAATTTTCTAGTCAGAAGGATGTTCGCATTTTATCGAAGCACCAAACCTCCCTTCAAGAAGCTATTAACTCAGAAAAAATTAAAACGCAATGCTTAAATTTAAGTATGAGGTTAGTTTAAATTATGGATTGTATGTTATTACTTGAGTCTATAAATTTCTACAAGGATTTCCATGAATAAAATGGCGGAACAAATAAGTGGTTGAGACAGTAATCAAGCTGGTTTCAGCATGTTGATGCTCATTAGCAGTGCACATACTCATACTTTCTGTGAGACTTCTACTGGAATGTTGGGATGATGGAAATGAATGTCACACTGTGGTACTTTTCAGTCTAAAAATAATCTCCTGATCTAACTGGAAGGATTGTTGATTTCATTTTGAAAATAAAGCGATGGTTTGTGTTTATGTTTTTTTAATGGATTAGACTATAATACTAGAAGGTTTACTATTCGGCCAACTAATGACTGACACAACGTTCGACTTAGTAACTGTTATATGGATGCACTAGAATAATGAAAATGGCAGTGTGTCCCTATGGTGTAAAAGAAACCAGTATTCAAATGATAAAGAATAATTGTACACAAAAAGAAAAGGCTTCAGAATTCGTTGAAAAATACAAATAGGAATAGGTGAACAGGAATTTCAAATAGCTTACTTTGAATTAGTTTATACCTTGGACAACAGTTTATCAAAAAGATGTAAACCCTAAAGTAAACGTCACTAAAGGTGAATAATTTCAACTGGTTTATTTTCTGGAGCTTTCCTTCCTTGCTACTGAAAAACTCAAATAATTTCTAATATTAAATTAGGAGCATTCATTCACTTCTAGCGATCTGAGAACAACATAGTGACAGACTGAAGCGATAAACTGATATAACCCTTTTAAATCCAGTAAAGTAATCAAGAGTTGATTTGTAAGGATTAGATTTGTCTTTTGATTTTGACCACGGATTGATATCAGTTAGAGAACCTTTGAAAATAAGCAGGGAGTAATGAACAGCTGTTTCATCCTGCACCCAGTGAAGTTCAAACGCAGGACCTTCCGGTTACAAGGCAAGCTGGTGTACCATTCAGTCACTGGGACCCGATTCAATGGCTCATGAGTTGTAAATTGTACTAATTCGTGATTTTAGCGCAATTACCAATCACTTTCATCGGCGGGAAATCCATCCTCAATCCCAACTAGATGAACCTCACTGGTTTAAGGTTGATGATATCGACGTTCGCGAATTGTACGGAGTATACTAACGCAAGATCTTATACCAATAACTTCTATAGTATTCGTTTCTCGTGTACCGAAGATAAAGCAAAAGACCAGATTTAGTCGTCCAAAGTACGAGATATATTTCGGGACCAAATAGTAAACCGTTTCGAGTGCTTATCTAGCTAGTGATCGTGCACGCACGTGACACGATGGAGTACCAAATGGCAAGGATGCTTGACCGGAAGCCTTCGACTAAACAAGTCGATTTAAACAGTGATGGTCAGCATCCAATGTTGAGTGATGATTGCTGTGGTCAATAATTTTGGGGAATTATTTACCGCTACGTTGGTCTCACTTGAACTCCAGGAAACTCCATCCTGCAACCAGTCACTAGCGAGTATCGGTAGAGTTAATCAAATAACTCTGAAAAGTCGATAAACTAACAAAGTGAAATTACCGTTGAAAATGGCCAGCATATATTAGTCATATTAGTTACAGCTAAGATGAGTGAGTACAGTGCATTTTTGCCTGGATTTGAATTGAATAACCCATTAAATACCCTCGACAAAATCAATACAGAAACTCACTTTGAAATGACATTTGAGAAATAGGTAAAAGTAAAGATTGTTCACTAAGAGTTTAAAACGATGTCTACAAATCGAAAGAGACAAATCCCGTAATTTGATGAATTTATGTACGTGTTCACCATTGTGATATTTGGTAAAATGATTTATGCTAACTGTTGTTCGAATACCAGATAGATGATCTCAGACTCCTTGAATTTCGTCAATCTAAGTGCTACTAGTTATCTCGAAAATAGGTGTAAGTAATTCACTGTTATGTCAGTTTAAGCAGACATGAGAAAATTATTAATTTTTAGTGGTGTTTCAGTATTCTTCACCTTTTCATTGTGAGTTTTTACTCTGGCTGTGTCTTTCTAATTCATCTCATATTTTGATAGGATTAATAATTCGCTAAATAATATCTGTAATGGAATTCAAAATAAATTTTTTTCCCTTAATCTTTTCAAAATCTGTTTCAGTGATTTTTTATTTTCGGGTTACGATTCAGAACAGCAGAAATTAATTTTGAATGATCTTCATGAAATTATTACTGAGGTTTATCGAGATACTATTCGGAAATCGGACACACCACTGAGGTATTGTTTCGGTAGCTTGTTATTTACTTTTTCAAGAGTATCTGTTTAAATGGTGTAAATGTATGAAAACTGGTTTATAATGGTGGTCTTCTACGAACGATTTTGTTTCAAAGCTAGGCTCTCAGACATTTATCTGGTGACCGAAATAGAAGGCAACCATTTATTTCATTTTTTAATTAAATACAAAGTGACAGATTGCTGCTAAGTGACCAAACTTTTCATAGAGCCTGGATCTAACTGATGGAAGGTTATGTAGGTTTTTCCTCAGTAAATGTCTGATTGATCAGTTCCTAGATGAAGTGGTGGGTAAATGCTTACATCATCAAAGCACCTTTTTATCCTAATGATGTGCTCTGCTGAGTCGAAGAATTCTCTACCTACGTGTCTTTGTATTAGTTTTTTGCACTGGGTGTTATGACTTCAGTGTGTAGATAAGACAGTCAACCAGATGATTTGAAATGTTTCATGGAGAATTCACACAAGCCTCAGTGAAGTTACTCTGAAAAGATCGATTTATCGTAAGCTGTCATGGAATGGTCAACTGACAAATTTCTACACCTGGGTACCCATAGGTCGAAAACGGAACCTGGTCCGGTCGCTTGCCACTCGGATTCGGCGCATATGTAGCCCTGATACTGTGGAAGATGAGTTATACATCTTGAGGAAAATCCTAATAGAAAATGGATTTCCACCACGTTTTATAGATAAGAATATACATTCAAATCCTTTAAAACGTGACTTATCAACCGAAGCCAAGAAGATACTTTACATGAGCTTGGAATTCAAAGGGGACTTAGCTTCCGATATCATGAAACGAAGGATATCACAGTCCCTGAAGAGAACATTCCCTGCTGCATCCCTGAGAATAGCCTTTACTAGTCGACCATTATTGTTCAATAACCTGAAGGACAAGATCCCGCTGTTGACCAACTCTATGTGTGTTCATCAATTCACCTGCTCGTGTGGAGCTAGGTATATTGGTCGTTCGACTCAAGTCCAAGAGGGTGCAAGAAAACTATCCTGCATGGTTACGAAAAGGTGGAAGTGGAGCAATAAGAAGCGCGATCATTGAACATCTGGTCGATAATGATCACCCTATCTCTATAGCCTCCGCCTTCAAAGTCATCTACAAGGTAAAGAGTAATCTACCTAAATCCCTACGTACCCGACTCATCTGTATTGTTGAAGCTTTGGCCATCGAAACAGAAAAGCCAGATTTCTGTGTACAGAAAAAGTTCGTTCAACCCCTCCAACTTTCATGGTCTTAATCCCTCTATGCTAAAGTATGGTAATCCCCAATCATATTTTAGCTCTACCAATTTTTCATTTTTTATTTTGTCTATTCAGTTTGTAGTCTCTTTCTTATTATGTCAATTGTTACTATTACTACTCTCACTTTGAACTGTCCCCGGTATTATTTCACTTGTTCCACTTGTCATTCTAAATCAATTCCTTTATGCAACATTAAATTCTATGCTATTAAATTTCACACAGTATTACGTAACATTTTTATTTTATTCGATTTGTCTACTAATCTTATAATTGCACACCTTTTTCATGTTCCATCCATCCTATGAATTATTCTATATATGACATTAATTTGCTTTGCCAGTTGACATTTGACTACGATTATAATCACAAACATTTTAGTTTTAATTGCATTTCATATTATTATTATTTTATGCATTCACACCTATGTTTGAATTCCCTCACCGGATATAACCTCTTAGAAACCATATATACATATATATATATATATACGATTGTACAGCTTGATGATAAATTCGTTGAAAAGAGTCTCTTCGCTGAATCATTTGTTTTGATTTTCTATAAGTTACTCATTATCATGCGGTATACTTTAACATGAATTGACAGTTTGTGGAACAGTTACAGAGGCTAAACGTTTCAGACAGTTAGTTTTCTTCATAAGTTTGTGTTTTTCAGTTTTTCTTTATCGTTTATAGTAGATATATTGGGGCCAAAAAATGACTGTGTAAGCCAACTGATCAGTGGGTGATAATCGTTGCATAGTTAAATGACTCTGGTAAACTCCTGGAAAAATATCCAATGTTTTAGCCTGCAAACTCTTTCTGTGCCATTAAATTAGTTTGTTTTGAAAGAAGCTGCCTTGAATGAATCGAATGATTTTGCTCAGCAACACCCACAACCTACTGATATCAATGACAGATACGTTCTTTTCTATAGATTTAATAATTTTGTGAGAATGTGATTAGTGGTTTAGGGGAATATTTTGTCACCAGTGCAGCACCAGTGCAGTTTATAATATATCGACAGTAAGTGAATGGCAACCTGGTCTTCATAAAATAGGATGGCCATAGAATCTGTTATTCTGTGAAACCGTCATTGCTAATTTCTGTACTTCTCAGTTCTGAATAGGAGTTCAGTCAAATAACAGCTGTGAGAGAAGGGAAGCGTTGAATGCTTAAGACTACTTATTTTTGTCCTGATATTAAAAAAGATAAGACAGTTGACTTGTTTGCAGGAAACCAGAAATACAACAGACATACAATCGATGAAACTTGAAACTTCCTAACAATGTATTTATTGCTAATGAAACCTTGGTTTCAGTATCCTGAAGTCAAGGAAATAGCTAAAATAAAGGTGACTTTCGAAGCAACAATGGTTAAGTATGCTGATCCGATTAAAATTGTGACCGTTTCGAAGGCCACGTTTTCATGACACATATTCTGCTTACCAGCTTAGAAACATTTTGTATCACACTATAGTATATTAAGAAATTTTATATTTTCAATCCACCAGAGGGCAGCTTTTATTGTTTAGGTGTGCTCCAAAGGCTGCTTTGTTTTATTTACTTCTCTGTCCCTATGAAGTTTATTTGCGTTTATAATGTGCCATGTGAATCTGACATGCAATTTTACATCTTCAGTACGTCAGCAGACTAAAAAGTTACTGAAAACCTAGTTTAATCCTCAGCATTAACGATAGGGAAAGCATTTCTTCCTAAGAGTGTTTGATGTTGTGTTTAAATGTGTGGAAAACTGTTAGATTTTTAACACCTTCCATAAACTTTGGTGGTGAATATCAGCAAGCACACAACACAACTTATTCACAGGTTCTTATGGTTTCTTTTCGGTTATTGAATAAAGTTACCTTCTTTCTTTTTATCAAAAAGTTTATGATTTCAGTTGTCATTAAGTAAAATTTAGTGTTTTGAATACGACAGCATGTTTTGGTTATTGACTCTTAATTTCTAGTTCACTACAAATGTTATACGAAATTGAGGCTAAAATGGTTGATCTACTAGAATTTCTGCAAACGCTTCCTGAAGATGAAGTGAAGGAAGTGAAACAAGCCAAAGAAGCTGAACAACGACAACAAATTAAAGAAGAGAAGAAGAATCAACAACGGATATATCAAGAGGAGCGAATACAAAAGGCGTTAGAACGTGCAAAAGCTGAACCAAAGAAACAGGTAAATAATTAATAATAGAAATTAGTGGTAGTTAACAATAACCAGTAGTTTCATAGAATAAGGAAATCTGGGTAAATGAATGGTTGGACTGTATGTATTATCTGCCCTAAATTAGGCTATTAATAAGTACTATTGATTGTGTGTTGTGAACCAGAACAGGGGAGTTGCCTAGCTATATTTTATAAATGATGATTATGTAGGCGATGTTAGATTGTGTTGAAAACTGTTTTGAACTTAACCAATTAACCGAAACTATTATTACAAATAGAAAGTTTTGCTTTCATATATATTTTGACCCATTTTAAGATTTCAGTAGTTCAATAACTATCACATATTGTCAGCTCAATTTCCATTGCAATAATCAGTTACCTGAAATCAGAATTCACAAATCATTGAAAACTTTTGTTTACTGTAGATTTCTTCTACAGCATAATCCAGTGCAGACATCAGGACAATTAAGACTCAGCGGCATTATCGTGTCGGTTAGGTCAGTGACTGAATCAGTATGTGAAGTGTAGCAATTTGAACTGCTTCACTTTTTCTCATGATTCTACGTTGAAAAACCAGACAATCAGTCAAGTCACACATCCGTCAGCACGCTAAACACAAGTAGGTTTAAACAACTGAATCAGTTATCAACTGGTGTCTGGTCTACACACATGTCTTACACGCAGCTACTTAGTTGGCCAATAACCCTGTATCATACTGCTGATGTATTGGCTTCTTGTATCCTACTGAAAAAAAACTAGAACTGGATGCTTTTTATCTAGTAACAGGGTCTTATTTTACCAATACTAGCTGAGTTAGGATTTCGATGAGGGAAGCTATGATCTTTTAGCACAAAATAATTTACTGATCAACGCATTATCTAACTGTTGATACAATCTATTTGAGAGAGTTTCAGAACAGCGGTTTGTGATACTAGAATTCAGTGACCAGAACCTCTTAGTGAAAAAACTCGAAGTCACCATGGAGGAGCCGGTTGTTTAGAAATAATTTCTGTCATTAAAGGAAAGAAATGCCATAAGCTACATAATTTAGTAGGTACTAAATTGTGGTATTAAGTCAACTTGAACTTCGTAAGCAGTTAAACATATCATCAGGGAGAATTAAATACATTCACAGGAGACATTTATTTTGTGTACTCACTTATATACCTTCATTCTAGAGTGTTAGAAACAAATGAACAATTTTTGACAGACATTCGGATTTCTAAAGTGCATTTGATGAATAAAGAGCGTAGGAGTGAATTCAATGAAACAGAATTCTCATTTAGTCCTTCAGTCTTCTCTGAATCCCTTCAAAGAACAGTTTGTTTTGTCATTAAAAAAATTGATATTGCACTAATTATGTTTATTTTTTTAATCTTTATCTTATAAATCCTATAGACTGGACGCAGACTGGTGACTCGATCACAGCCTCCAGTAATACACAAATCAGATGACAGGAAAAATGATGCAGAAGCTAGAGAAGCAAAGGAGCTAGCCTTCTTATTCGAATGAATATACTTTAAGTACTAATAATTATAACAGTAACAATTTAACTTACAAATTTATCCACAGCTTTTCTTAATATTTTTCTATGCATAATAACCATACTACTTATAATAATAATTATTGTTAACATTCAAGATTTTGTAAACTTTACGTATGCAGATATACATTTTTACGGATTGCAAATTTCTCTTATAGGGGCAACTGGGTTATAATAAATATGCAGTTAGAGTGTATGATTCTTTATTCTCAATGCTTTGCTGATCAACTGTATTATGAAAATAAAGTTTTCACTTTGCTTGGTTTACCACAGATAAATTTCAGTTAATGAGGCGCTAAATTTATTTCTCATCCACACCCTACACTATGCTGTGTTCCATAATGTTTTAGCTTTGGCTTTGAACTCCTAACCAGGCTTTTTCAGCTAGTGGTCAGTGTATGAAACTGCAAACACGCTCTGGTCAATTACAAGCACACGTTTAAGTTTTCTTGTGACTGCAACACTAAATACAATTTATGTGTATTTAGTTGTCCATTTCAAACCTACATGGCTAAAGCTGCTTACATTATCCTCTTAAGTGCCTCCATCAGTAACTTCACTTGTTTTTCTCTTATTCCAGTATTCCTATATTTCAGACATCACAGGAGCATCCATACTACAGAGACTAGGCATTTTGGTCCAATATAACCAATCAGCGGGAAATTAAACTTCGATAGTAAAATTAATTTGATCAGTTTTTGGTTAATACTATGACTAATGTTCTTCAGGAACAGTGTGTATAAAATTCTTTCCTATTAGGTGCTTTCTTTTTTGTCTATAGAAGGATGTAGGTACAATTAGGTTACTTACTCACTAGTTCTTATTGGCAGGATGTGTTTACGATATGACTAACAAGTTGGATTAATTTATCCACTGAGTTAGCCATACTATGCTTTAATGTATACTATATGCATTCATCAGCTGTTTCAAAGTGAAATGCAGATGATGTATATTACTCACCAGTTTTACGCTATTCTTTATGCCAACAGGTTTTCGGCTGTCTAGTCTAAAATGGGATGATCAAATGTCTTCCCATCACTACAGTGAACTGCTATGATGCACTGTCATCCGTCCTAGACTTTGACGGCGTTGTTGACAGCACACACCAGTTTGTTTCCTTTATAAACAAGACCTTTAAGGTCATAAAAACTTGTTCATTAAGTTTGTGATAGCCCTAATGAGTGAGTGATTCAGGTACCGATAACGGAAAAGCACTAGTTAACTTTGAAAATACTCCTAATTATTCTAAGTAGACTAACAAATTAACTTGAAACCTACGGTTACACGTTAGGTGTAATAGCATGTTAATATCAATCAATGGTCACTTTCATCTGTGTGATAGATACTATATGTAATGTGTCCTGAGGAGATAGGAGACAAATGTATGACTATGACTGATAAAATGAGGTATGACAGATGGAAAGTAGATTAATTCTTACAGAAAATTATTAGGAAATTGTGACTGACGCTGATTTTAATAGTCAAAGTGAACAGTAGGAGAATTCGATCACTTACAAAAAACCATGAACAGTGATACCATTAGTCACAATAATAAAGTGAATCTTTTGCAAATATTACACCACTGGTTACTTGGACAGCTTAATTAAAACATCACGAGTGGAGTTTAGAAAACGCAGACCACAGTCAAAAATGATGAAAGTACTTGGATAGTACACAGTCTGATGGACGAATGAAAATACGTTAACACTGAAAGCTCAAATTAAACAATCAATAAACAGTTCACTTCTTCTACACATTTTCAAACACTACGAAACCACGACAAAACCAAAACTTAGCCTCCAAGTTGGGAAACCTTGAGTGTTTTCGTAGGGCAGTTTAAGTATTACAAATACTCTATTTTACTTTTGTTTCAAATGTGGATACAATAGCTGATCGAAATGCTAATAGAATTCTAAGGAATCATGTCAGACTGGTCCCATGTGCGGTCGTATCCAAAATCATTCTCATCTCAGTGAAGAAAATTTAGTCAAAATTATCAAACCATCATCAATGCATAACACAACAGACTGACTATATTGTATTTCCGCAGGTGTGCAAGCATCTCATGTGTTCACTAATGTAACAGCTGAACATAGGGTAACGGTTTGTTTACTGGCAGATATGACAAAATGAATATACCTTACAATAAGATCACTATTTGCACATGTTCGCTGTATCGTTCTTCTTTAGTTCTGCCTTCATAGTTTCTGTGTTGTTCCGCAAGTACCTTTGATTTCTTGTCTTAGACATTTAACCCATCCTACCGCTATCCAGCATTCTTGCAGAAGACATCACTCATAATTTACTGCTTGCAAAGTCTTGTCAGTAGCATATACTGATAAAGAGTCCCAAAGTAACATGGAACAGATATCAGGAACTCTTTAACTTTCAGTGGATCTTTATATATAATTTCGTTTCGTGATGAAATCTAAGACTGAACTATTCAAATTCCAGCAACACAAACCTCAACAGACACCAATGTAGGTGAATTCAGGAATACTCTCATGACAGATGCTACTTATTGTGGAACAAATATAGTTAAAGCCAACAACTATTTTCAATAAATTCTTATTCAGGCTCTACAATTATAAATCCATTAATTTAAGCATACTATAGCCAGTAAAGGCAAATTAGAATCATATCAGAAATATATTGCGGAACAAGTATAAGATGGGATGGAACAATAGTCAGTTAGTTTTTGAATATGCATGGTCAATGAGAACATGAGATAAAATGAGATGAAACAATTTAATGATATATATATATAATTAAAGAAAGTACAGGTCTCGAGGGTGAGTGTAATGTGTGAGACAATATGAATACTATAGAAAATAAACCAACGAGTGGGTTGGACTAGACTTAAGTTCAAAGGTGAAAATAACAATAATAATAATAAATGTGATATAATAACGATGATGCGGAGTAAACTTAAAAGTACTATTGGTGAACGAACATCAAATAATTATGAATTTATTATTGTTATTATTATTATTTATCGTTCCCTTGGGTTCCGAGTGGAACATCTCCACTTTGTTCTATTTTCTGCCATCCTCTTCAGCTGGGTCTACGATTGCCCAAACTCTCTCATCTCTTCATAATGAATTTAGTGAAGCGAAATGAACAAGATTTTGTAAATATGATAACAAGTTAAGAAAGCATTACTTAAACTTAAGGTAATAGAAATCATAAGAAAGGTCATGAAGTTATAAAAAGTACAGAAATGAACGTTCGTCAATGAAACAAAGGAAAAGAAGAAGGAAAGGAAAAAAAACTAAAAGCACTCAATGAGTACCTGAAGCATAGTGGTAGGTTCATGAAAGCGAAAACAGATTCGGAATTTATTCGAAGTCGTACTGCGAAGAACTGGTATTCTGAATTATATTCAAAATCCCTTCCTCGATACAAAACACCACCGAACGAGAAGTTATTACAGAAAATTGCTGTTAATCAGATCGAATCCTTCCATACATATATATCGGAACTAGAGAGAAATGTTTCTCAAAAGCCTTATGCAGTTGATGAACTTCCTCAGAACATGAAGGATTTATTTACTGACCACGTTAACAAAGTTAGAAGAACTCGAGAAAACAAGAAGTTGATATTATTAATCAAAGGACTAGATACACAAACGACCGAAACTAATTTTCCAGTTGACTACAACCGGTACATTTTCAATTTTTCCTCTGTATTCTTAGGTAAGATACAACTTGAAGCTTTATCTCTCTGTTTAAAATTCTGTGACAGACGTAATCAGGCCAGTCATTTAGAGACTGATTTTCAGTTTGAAAACATATGCTTAGACAAACGACCTAATTTACTTGTCCAAGTATGATCTAGAAATATTTAAATGTATCCTAATCGATTCTTTCCACCAGTTTAAGAAAAACAGACATGCTGTCAACAGCCTACTTACAAAGAACCACTGAGGCATTACGTGATCTCAAGAAGAAAGAAAATCCGACAATAACTAAACCTGATAAGAGACCTGGTACAGTTTTCATGAATAAGAGTGTTTTTATAGACAAAATGAATCTCATTCTAAATGACCAAACGAAATTTCAAAAACTGAATAGTTGTAAAGACACAACTGAACGCCAAATGACTAAGATATTAAAAATTACTAGATGAGAGCAATCTGTTTCTTAAGAGTAAAGTAAAGTAAAGAGAGATTCAAAACAGAGATGATAAGCAGAAATATGAGGCAAAAAGAATAGTAATAACGAAGAATAATATAGTTTCATAGGGTATTATAAATCACAAGGAGTGAATGCGTCTGCACCAGCTATTGAGAACGATTTTGAGCCATATCATCAATTGTCTCCAGCCACTGGTTTCTACCATCTCGAGGACCCCAAACAGGAAGTCTACACCTCCCTACGTGACTGGCTGACTGGTCGCTTAAACTTACTGTTGTGGATTTCATTGACTGATTAGGTCATGTTTTGGTTTGATCAACACCAGTTAACTCTTTTCCAACCTGATCCATCCAGTGTCAGCTAACATTGGCCATTGTCGAGGAAGGCGATCGATGGCTAGGCAGGCATGCGTAACACATGTCCTAACCATCGTTGATTGATTTCCCCTCCCACCTACCTAGCACTCGACCGATGCCTAACCTCAATATTGCTCACCTTATTACACCGCTTAACACGGGAGATGGAACGCAGGCACCTATGATCAAAGACAGCTAGCCGGCCTTTTCGTATCTTCCACTTTCAATGGCCATATCTCACAAACATAAAGGAGGACAGAGCGAACTGCTGAGCGGTACACACGTCCTTTGGTCGACAGCCGGTTGGATATCACGTCTACACCAGTGGTGGCGTCAGTTGTCAGGCGTATGCCAAACGAGCCTTCTGTATCCGTGCTGAGATTTCGTCAGCGATTGACCCGCTGAAGTTGGCTGATACAACTCATCAAATAAGTGAAGTGGTCAACACGCTCTACCATTTCACTCACTATCTTTAAGTTAGGAGTAGTCAATTTAGTCCAGTCCTGTAGCACCATCTTACATTTGACAGCAGGAGAGCATCACATGCCAAACATTCGGAGATTGCTGCTCCTCAAGGTGTTCAGAAGACTCTGCATTTTGTCAATCTCTTCTTCCAGGAGCCCGACTATT